AGAAGTATAGAATGCCAGCCACTGGGATATCAAGACCTGTTAATGAAACCTGAAATTCTACGTCCCAAATCGAAGGAGTGCGGTGCCAATCTGGGAAAATTGGTGGCCTTAGTAGCATTCCTCCACGCTACCATATCTAGTCGTGCAGTCAGTGCCGTTCGCACATCAAGGGCTATCACCTTCAATGCGTAGCTACCCAATTCCCGAAATAACTGAACATGCCATCGCCTCCGAGGCTTGAATATAAGTCCCAAACTCTCCCACTTTTCAGTGATCGAAAATGTACCAGCTGGAACAGATTTGCTAATGATACACGGTTTATAGTTGATCAATTGAACTGGTTGAATCTTACTATCCCGATTTGCTGAGTGTGTTCTAAGTGCTGTTAGACAGTTCCAGTAGTTGCAAACCAACTCACATTTAGGCAAAACTACAAGGTTTTTCCTTCAATCTTTTACTCATATTGTTTACATAAGATCCAGACCTGACAGTGAATCAAGGATTCTCTGCCAAATAATGAAATATTTTATTTAACCAACTGGTTATTTCTACATCTCATTTGACTGCATTGAAATCATTCTCTTTGATGGTCCCAAGTTTGCTAAACTTTGAGACAGTGTAATGCAAAGACCACTAAGCTTACTCTAATGACAACTAGTGAATCTCTAGACCAGTAAGGAAAGGAATGCGAGTTTCAGTCTTAATAAACCACTGGAATGAAAGTAGCAAATATACCGTACTGTACTTTAATAATCAGCGCAATAAATGGTTGCACGTTCAATCGATCGGATGTAACTCCGACGCCATGGCCACTGCGATCACGTGAGTCACATGATCCGGAATAGCTAGCGCTCACGTCACCTTTACATAACTTGCCAGATAGCTGAGATGAGTGTAACGGTTTTTTCGACACTAATTACCACCATCGTGAAGGGCAGAACTGATGGTTCACTGGCAACATCTCTTTTACTCCTTTTGCGGTACTCACATGACCTTGTAAATATTCTTCTTTCAGGTAAGTTCCTCTGGATTTGACATCGTTCCCTTCTGAATTCCAAGCGTCCAACACCTAGGGGAAACTGAGTGAACTTTCAAAATATGTTGCAAAGCAAAACAGGCTATAAATCCGTTAACTTGTCCGTAGTTTGAAAGATTGTTCGAAAGGTTGTTTGACAATTCTAAAGGTGACCCACCGGAGGAACGTATTTAAACAAATGTGTCCTATTAAATTTGATGCATTCGCAGACGTAGCTGAGTTCAGTGATGAAACAGCTAAGTTCCTGGGGTTCATCTACCTGACAACCTTACTGAAAACCACGGTAATACTGTTAAGCTGAACCTTGGGAGGTTCACATCATGAGATTAGTGGTAGGGTCTAAACCTGTTGACTTCCTTTGGACGTTTTTCGATAGTCACGAGCTGCAGCACACGAGGAAGTCCGTCCACATTCATCATGCAGTCCTGTTTATCAGTGTTTGATGTTTGAGTCCGGTTGATCACACAGTCGGTCACATGAACGCTGTCGCGTTGGAACGCAACAAATATTGCCAAAATAAATTGGATTCGAGTGTCCGCCAAGGATATTCTGACGTTACGTAGATGACACGTTTTTTGTGACAAAGCGGGATAAGGCTAACGAATTTTTTCAATATCTTAACACTGTTTACCCTCACATTAAGCTTAGCACGGGGCTAGAATGCACATCGGGTACACTACCCTTCATTGACTGCATGACACCCAAAAGTGGTGGTAGACTAGAAACCACTGTTTACCGAAAATCAACAGATAGTGGTACGGTCTTAAACTACTACTCAGCACACCCAAAAGAAGTATATGATAGTATAATTTTAACGATGTTTAGTAGAGAAAGAGCACTGCGCATAGAGGAGGTTAACAGAAGAGCAGCACAACTTGAAGTAAAAAAGCGACTCCATGATAGCGGATACCCAGTGGGTTTAATTGAGCGGCAACTGACACCAATATTAGTCCCAGTACCAAAGCCCAACAAGGAGTTGATCGGAACAGCAGTCATTTCATACAAAACAGGGACATCTGAAGTCATTAGACGGGTGCTGAACGCTCAGTGTTGGTTCAGTTGAAGGATCGCGTTCCGGTTGATAGGACTAGGAACTGTGTATACGAGATACAACGTGACGACTGCACAAGGATTTACTACAGATCAGACAGCCAGGGAATTGTACACCAGATTCAGTGAGCATAAGCGATGTATTAACAAACCGCCGAGAAACGTAAATGAATGTCAGGCGAGCATCAAAGATTCGGCAATGACAGGGCATGCACTGGACAGTAGGCACAGGATACATTTAGAAAATGTGGACATTCTGAGATGGGCAGTATGATTCACACCACAGCGACTGATGGCCTAGGCGGTGGAAATCACTAAGCATTTCAGCGGGATTAGAATAGAGGGCGTAGAGCTGGCAAGCGTGTGAAGAGCGGTTTTAGATCAGCCGAGATGACACGAGGGGATGTGAAGTTATCAGTAAATTGATATGGGCCTAAAAGTACAAAATCAAGGGTGAGTAAGTTCAAAGTACCCACCCTACCCCGCAATTCCAAACCTTTGTCCCGTCATCCCTGAACAAGCATAGGCGAACAAAATTTGTGATCGACCCCTAAGAGGAATATTTCATTAAGGTGTCCTAGACCGGAAAAGCAAGGCCGCAAAATCCGGTTTCAGCATAAAGACAATCCCCCTAACCAGTCTATCGTAAATGTTAGTGTTCCCAAGAACCAACGAACAGGAACTTCAGACCGACAACCAGCATTGATCAAGTCAGCTAGTCATAAGAAATCTCACGGAATGGTTCCCTGGCTGCCTCTAAACCCGATCAACCTGGTTAATTACTAACTTGGCCTGACAACGCTTTTGTGTCAAAAGCGAAATGTTGCTCAACAATAAATCCGCCGTTTGTTTACCAGGCCTCTCTGAAAACAAGGTTCCAAGGTATTCGCTTTGTGCTACACGTCCTAATTTGGTCATGCGTCACAAAGAAAAACGTCAAAAAATGAACCTTATCCTCATGGAATCACCTCACAATTTTTGGCTTCTTAAATACTTAGCACAGTCTTATAGGAAATGCATGGCGTTCAGTGCGCTTTCTTGCACATGAATTTCACATCTGATCCTGTAAGACGGACACCTTGTGCCTGATCTGCAAGTCTTAGCCAACCAGCTCTTGGTGTGACCTGAAAAGTATTGAGCATTTTGCTGAAGGAACACTACTCATAATACTCTTAGACAGCCCACAATTCGTTTTACCCTTCTTGTAGCTTATCAGGTAGGCGAAAGTTCCGAATTTCCCTCAACCTAGTTTTTCATTTGGATCCAACTCGGACGCCGTTCGCTTCCACATAAGCGCATTTCCTGAAACTCTACAATGACTACCCTGCCAATGCTAACCTCTACGACTAACTGAGATAATAAAGCATGGCTAGTGAGATAGCTATGAGGTGTCAAAATAATGGGCATAGCCGAACGGTCGTTGTTACCGACCGAGGATCCTGATCCGTCGGTGCGGATGGGCAATGTAGCATGTATAATTTTAATACGTTTGTGGTTTCGGTGAACTGACACATGCTGTGAGGCCGTCCGTCTGCTCACAAGAGAAATACTAACGAGCGCTGCGGTACCGCCCACGAAGCAAGTAACTAAGGGCATTTAATCAAACACTCACATTTGAATACTGATTTGGTTTTGACAGAAGGCTTAACTGAATCAAACTGAATCTCTTACTTACGTTGTCCTGTTCACCTGAAATTGATACAGAAGGCCGTCTCATGTTTCTTTTGGTGCGACAGCTGAGATATCACTGTGCACTTTCTAGACGTAACGCACTACTCATAAAATCGATAGAAAATCTTCTACATCTTTTGACCGGTTTCGCCGTTCTTGTGACTAAGAAATCAGACACAGTCTCTGAGTTTCCGTCAGCTTTATGTTCTATTTGAATTCATATTGGACAGAATCCGCCAAGAAATCAGCACAGTCTCTGAGTTTCCGTCAGCTTTATGTTCTATTTGAATTCATATTGGACAGAATCCGCCAAACAGTCTCATTTGCACACTATGTCGGGAGCTCAAACGAATCCAACTGAATCTTTCGTTTATGAGGTGTTTTGTCTACATACCTGTGATTTCCAAAAAGAGCGAAACCGGTTGTGAGCTGTTTAAGAGTTTTTACCAACTCTGTAAGTAGTGTGTTACGTCTAGACAAAGGCATTTGATTCCCTCTGGACAAGCCGACCCTAGAAAGAACCACTCCCAGGTGGTCACTCCCGAACACACCAAATTGGTCTCGGGGCAATTTTAGTGGTATCGTTCAAGAGGACAGTTTTTTACGAACAAATCGTTCAGCTCATTCGGAGCTAGTGTATGGCTGCGAAACTTGAAAATATTGGTTAGACCGCTTGCATCACAACTTCATGTTCCCGAAGTTCTTGTTCCTCAAAATCTGTTGTATACACCTTTCTGACCTCGGAACTAAAAAGTAGATCTTTGAAAACGGACTCTACCATTACAACGTGCCACAGTAAACAATGGTGTGTGACCACTCATTTTTCATTCGAGGGGAAAGGTAAGTCCTCTCAGAGCACATAACGACTGATGACAACAGCTCAACCACATGCACCAGCAAGACGAAACCAGCCCCAGGATGACTGTTCACATTAGTCTGCGTAATATGATGATTTATTTCGTGTTCAAACAAACGCTTGCTCTATTGTTTCAGTTTCTAAACGAGAGTCAAATTTTCTGTCTGAACTACAGGAGATCAACCACCGATTGCAGGCAGTAAACAATGCGAGCTGATTCAAACTTCACAAACCTACTGAGTTGTTGCTTGTCTTGACTTGAAAATACCTGTGCGACAAAGTAAGGCTCACGACAAAGCGAAAGCGAGAAAAAGGTGATGATTGTACGGCATATTTTCACCGGGTTGGCTTGATACGCAGCCTAGAGCGCTTGAATGGACAGGCGGAATGGCAGATGGCGCTTATGACCTTGACCTGAATCGGTGGAGGTGAGTCAGCATTGTTCAGGCAGTCTGGCGTTTGTATGCGTTCGTATGTACATGACATCAATGCCACCCATGGGAGAAAATGCCACCGCGTAAACAGATGTCCTTTTGTATCGCTCCAAGGTAACGATAAGCTGGGGTTTTGTGAAATTAGAAGCTCATTTGAAAATCAGGTTGGTGTTAACGGGATAACGAAATGAGATTCAACTGGATCAACTGAATCACCTGGATCAACTGATTCAACTGATATTCTTCAGTTGGACATACCGCACAAACGCTGCCTCACCCTTTTGTCAGTCTACCATACTTTCAGGGTGCGAGGCCAGTCTAAAGCAACAGCAAAAGTCGGCAAATTTCAGTGGTCGCCTCAGCTCAGCACATTTTAACATCACCATCAAATTAGGCAGAGGTTTTGGTCTTCGGTTTCACTGTACACTCACGCTTTTTCCTTTCCATCAATCAGCGGCACCGAAATCCATCTGAATACAGTACTCGAAATTATACCCGTTTTTGTGATTTGTGACCTTATCTCTGCGCAGGACATTCTGACAGCCAGGTCTTCCGGAGAGAATAAGTGGTTTCGGTAATTCGGTGGAACGTCTGCCATGTTGAGATACCATTTGCTGATGCGATTTCAGAGGAAACTGGAAGAATACCTTAAGGCACATGCTGGCAATATCTTCACTCAGTCGCAATTTCTTGCAGAAATGTGTCTGAATTTACAGTGTTTCTGGTGTGGTCCTGTGGGAACCACTTACTAGTCTCTGTATTATAAGTATATATATATNNNTTTTTTTTAGGTTTTTTAGGGTTGTTCATCAGGATGCCAGTAACTGGATGAAGTCACTCGGTGCGCAGTACATTCCGAAGTATATCATAACTGTCGCATGGAAAAAAGAAACGATTGTCATCCTAAATCACGCTCGGGAAGGAAGTTCGAGTATCTCTCCTGAGGTCAGTCTACTCGTCAGTCTACCCTTATATCCTACGTTGCTGACCACTATATATATATATATATATATATATATATATAGTGGTCAGCAACGTAGGATATAAGGGTAGACTGACGAGTAGACTGACCTCAGGAGAGATACTCGAACTTCCTTCCCGAGCGTGATTTAGGATGACAATCGTTTCTTTTTTCCATGCGACAGTTATGATATACTTCGGAATGTACTGCGCACCGAGTGACTTCATCCAGTTACTGGCATCCTGATGAACAACCCTAAAAAACCTAAAAAAAACGTTCACTTGACGTCTCAAATAGTAAGCAGGTTCGTCGGGGCGAAAAACTTGAGACAAAAGTTCAGAGGACAGATCTGGCCTGTCAACCCCAGGAATACAAACTCAGATATCGTATTCCGAATCTGCAGAGCCGGCTTCGGATGTGAGTACTGTGGTCGTTGTAGAATAAGTCTCGGTAAAGGTATGGAATTTTGCACAGTTCCGCAGAAATTGAAATTTGGTAGAGAAAATCGTGGAAAACGAACTTTCGAATAAAGTACGGTTTTACAGAAAACCACAGACCCAAAGTATCTGGTCTTCCGTGTTATGTTCGACTGTCTTACATCCTGTTGAAGAATCCAGAGAAATGAATTCGATTTTTTCTCGCAGAATACAAAGCTGACCACATTGTTTGATAATTGTTATTCGCAAATAGGGAATGTAACATCCGCATATTTGACCGGACCGAACACATAAATGAAGACTTCCCATCCACCTATCCTACTCAGCCTCCCTTATAAGTATATCGTGCGTCGCCGTGAAAGTGATTTCATCCACGTTGTTGAGGCTAAATTCAGAGAGAGCCTACAAGAGAATCTAAAAATAAAAACTTATGCAGCGTGCAGAAAGTAATCAATTATTTTTTGAGATCACTAAACAAGTATATGGATTCGCTTGCAGTGAAAACACTTTAACCGAGAGAACCGAAAATCAACCCCCAGAAATCGTGCTTACTAAGTCTTAACTTCGTCCTGATATGACATGCGTAGTCGGTCAGCACGGGAACAAACATACCATAGTTTCCTCACATCTGACCATTACGTCATATGGTCAGAAAGGCCCAAGGTCAGCACCGTGGCAACTAAAAACACTACCAGTCAGAAATGAATATATTAGACCGTCTCAGGGACAATGAAGACCCTAACATGACCGCACAGACGTATGCATTAACGCAATTCATAAATTAGTCCTTCCCTCAAATATGAGCCTCCTCTTCTACACGACTGAATCGGCCCTTTACTTTAGAGGTAGTGTAAAGAGGTGTAGAGAGCTGTTTTTGCTAAGGACTAACATGGAGTTGGAGAAGTAAAAACGCTATTCATGAAGCATTAAACCAGGACGTTTTGACCAAATGTATCGAGCGAGAAAGACCGCAGGATTCGATAGCTTCAAATCAGATATTTTAACGCGGGATGGTGGAACTTTCCACACTGAAACCATCGGCCTGTGATCCGCGTGAATGAGACAGCTTCCTTCAGCTCCTTTTGTTAAAACACAAAATTGCATCAGTGTTGTAGTGACCCAAGCATAGTCACATACAACCTATGGTCCGGAAATACTAAATGCGGGAAGTCATGGATCACTAATAAACAAAGCAGTGCCTTTTGAGAGAAGCCTTAGCCTGATTGATGAGTGGATTTTGTTCAGCTAGATTCTGTGACGACCGGGGAAAACACAGTGAAACCCAGAGGCAATTCAAAAATCATCCCCAAATGAGAAGTGTCCGCTATTGGAATGTCCATACTTGAGGTGTCCACTGTAATCCGGTTCCTTACAAATATATTTCACTGCGCAGGCTGGAAAGGTACGAACTTATGGTAAATGTACGTTGCTACGACCTCCGATAGTTAAAGAATTTTATTTTACTTGATAGTCAAGTAGAGTCCGTTTGGAAAATGTACAAACTTCCAGTTAGCTTTCTTGGTGGTTGGATACCAGCAGAGTGCATGTGTATTCTTGTGTCGTGTAAATCTGGCAAGATGCACTCTTGTCAAATACTGTCATTTTTAATGTAGATAGAACTAGCAAGCAGTACTGCTGTATGTAACTGCTGTCCCCGTTTCAGTGCCTTGGTGTCCGCCAACAATGAACGCAACAGCATTATTACGAACAAGCGAGTGCAAGGGTTACAAGGAACCTCGAGCTATTTAAAGGGCACTTTTGACATTGATCCAGGGTGTCTGATTGGTGCTTGGAGAACACTCATCGTCATCGACCGTGTTTCTATGGGATGCCCGAACACTCATCATCGTCGATCGTGCTTCTGTGGAGAGCCTAACACTCGTCGAACATTGCTGAATGGACTGATTGAGTGACTGGCCCGAATGCTTGTCGGCTTCTCTACTGAGATTTTGGTGAAGTTTGAGGGTCTCAGTAGGTTCCGGGCATTCTGCGATTATTTTCAGGAGTCTGGTCCTCCTGACAAGTCAAGGACGCAACATCTAAACGGTGCATAGCTGTTTCCGCAGAGTATTCTCAAGTATACCGGTGGGAGATCGGTGTAAGAGTTGATGTCGTAAATTATCCGTCTGGTGTGCGTGACAACTTCACTGAAAACCCGTTGTAATCCTGGTAAACCATTTATTCATACCAAAGAAGCTTCAAACCAAGCTTCAGGTCCACCTAAATCAGATTACTATGCTCTTTCCGAAAGTGCCGCCTCACTCCACCATTCAATTCAAGCTCATCCGTGAAAAGCAGCAGGTTGCAAAGTGAAATTTCGCTAGTCCCGTTAACATCGTTAGATACTTTTTTACCCCACCTCCCCCCCCCCCACCGCCCCAAAAAACAACGTAGGTAGGCTTGAGCGCGCGCTCTGATCAGTTCTAACGTTGGGGGGACCTGAACTGTCCCTATTCAATAAGACTTAGCAGCGCTATGTGTGGTCCGGACATCCAGTAAAAGTGCTCTGAAGGGCGCAAACCTGAGAGGGAATGACTGCAGCATATCCATGTGAAATTTGCCGGATGGGTGGCATAGTTTCCATAATTTTTCATGGTCATATCTAACCACTATTGTGAGTGTGGCACTTGCGTGAAGTGATCATGTGACGTGACAGAACGATGGGTGGCGCTATGCCCTGTCTAGGTGAGAGCTAATTACACAGCTGATCAGCCGATCGTGGCAATACAGTTAAGTGATCAGACACTGGCAGGAAGTTTGAAACTCCCTGAGTTTTGTGATATGTTGATTATTCCAAACAAAGACGATACTGATATACAGTGCTTCTCTGCTTTTTAGCATAGACTGGCTTCACTGATGGGACGATATCTCTATAGAAAACGACCAAATCTCCTCCCATCACCAAGTCTAGACAAATGCAAAATGGAGGACAAAGCAGTAAAACGGCAGTCACATAATATACCGAGAAAGCTTCGTTTCAAATTCCAGAATGCTTTCGCGTCGTTCCTATCAAAAGTTGACCAATTGGTGTTCCATTCATGTGACTAGGAACTNGAGAAAGCTTCAAATTCCAGAATGCTTTCGCGTCGTTCCTATCAAAAGTTGACCAATTGGTGTTCCATTCATGTGACTAGGAACTATGACATCATGAAAAATATGGATGATCCCATGGTTTCGTCTCTATATACGTTCATATCAGTTGAAAGAACAGAACTTCGATTGAGACGGCCAGGTGCGTTGATCTGGGGGAAGGAAGCATGCGGTGCATTCGCCACAAACTTCGGGCTTACTAATTTCTAAAACGAAAAAAATTGGACTGTGAATGAAGGCGTCAAAATAAGAAAAAATGCTTAATACATTGCACGCAGTACAGTCTGACATATCTTTTATGTGTCCTCACCGGTTTCTACACAGGGTTGAGCTTGGCAAACCTCTAATCAGGGTTGATGGCGTAGGACGCATGTGCACATCAGCGTCGCTGCCCCACAATCACGGAAAAAACTTGGCAAACAATTTATTCATTCATGAAACGGCCACACTCGAGATGACTTCACCCAGCCCCAAAGAATCAAGCCGGCGTCTAACCTGTTCTTGCGTGAAGACCAGCTCAGCCATCAGTCTGATTCATTCGCCAGGTGCTCATTCACAATGAAAGCCCCACAATTCACAGACCTTTCTCGTTCATTCTCCTTCTTTGATCAGAGAACTGCTCAAATACGACTCCCTAGTTTCGGACAGTACACAGCACACGTACTAATTCCAACGATAAGTTACATCAGGGGTAAAGAATGCAAGAATGTGCGTGTAAGACGTGCAGACGCCCACTGAAGGATACGACAACTGAGCACCAGGGTCGTATTCTGTGGAGACGCTTGCTGTTTTGCGCTTGGAAGCAAGCAAACTAGATATTTAGTGACTGATGCCTTCCGCAATTGCTTGATTTCCCATACTGTCAAAAGCTCCTCAGATGTTGTCTCTGGATGCAAGAGAATTAAATTCACAGCATCTTCACTAAAAAGGAAGGAACCCGACTTGCTATAACAACGGTGACTTAAGATAATAAAGTTTCATGTTAAGAGAGTAATGATGAAATCGGAAACCAGAATCTTTAACAAGGAATAGATTTCAAACATTAGTGAAACAAAACTCCAGCTACAAACCGTTAAGCTTCGTTTATTTCACAGGAGTATGTGAAAGTGCTCACCGAGATGAGGTCCAATTCAAATATGAAATAACTGCGTCAAGGTAGGCAAGATATAGATTAACGCCTCCGAACCTGGTGTTGATAATACCCATTGAGTTCGCGGAATTTTTTTCGGAGAGACGTGAAGATTTTTGGCGGTGCAAGCACCGTTTTTTCAAATCAGTTTCCACTTATGAAAAATCTGGGATACTTACAGTATGCCCGTTTCTAGCTAGGATCACCAAAGAACTGTACTGTTAGATATGAATGACTGAGTTATTGCTCACTGACTGGTTCCTTATATCCTGAGGTGGCTTTGGTTCACATTAGGAACCGCGCGATATGACACAGGACCGATTGGTCCTCTTGCAGTTTGATTGCCTCACCAAATTCCTCTACCGCAGTATTGACTTTCAAACGTCCACAACCCCACAACCTTTCAATAGTTTTCTCTGATTTGTGTAACTGTGTGGGGTAACAGTCTTGATCCAAGTGACCACAGAAGCAAAGTCGCGCAATTGATCTAACATTGATGTCAATGAAAATCCGGCTACAACCATCAAAGCTGTTGTCCCAATAACAGGTAGCATCCTCACATTAAAATGTATTGAATTCGGATTCTGTGTACATCAGCCTTTTTCACTTCGGTACCCGACTGGACCGAAGGAAGTATCAGATTCAGCGGAAGTTACGCACTTCATTTTTCAAGCAGGCGTACCACAAAATGAAGCGTGTATGCTCGAATCACACCAGGGCTTAAACTGCTTGTGTGAAGTCCGTTGCCTTGCATCAGTTCATTTTAACAGTAGCATTTCACGAGACCTGGAAATAAGCTAGTAATCCAGACCCTTAAGTTTACCTTGTGCACTTGTCCCGTTTTCATAGCGAGCACTATCGTTTCTGTGGACAAACCCTTGGTGTTACAGGAACAATACTGAACTACTAGTAAATATGGTCGTCTGGTCACAGGCCGTGAGATACCTAAGTTCTCCGTGGAGTTGTGAGTGTTTCCATTTAACTTAAAGGATACAATCGGGAACTTGATGCAAGTCACGACCGGCAAGCCTTTCCTGAGGAGTTTTGCACCGTTTATGGCTACCTGTTACGTTAGTTCTGCGTGAGAAACTGCAATAGCGTTTGCTTCGCGTATCCAGTTCAACGCGACACATTTGGGGTTATTCAGTTTCCTGTCATTTCCACCAAGAACACGCAACGGTACCATGGCACTACGGACGTAGGTTGGCCCATATAGGAAATGAAAATGGTTCGCTCCTTAATCCAGTGCAGGGTTGACCACATAACTATGTCCATTTGTCATCCTACTGGTCTTCTAGTTGGTGAAACGCTATTGATTGGCTGTGCACGTATAAAGAAAACATCTTTGCTACAATTTTACACTGATGAATCATTCATTAGTTTAACTGGGAAGACAAAATTTCATCAAGTAGATTTTTAAAGTGTGGATGATCTAAATTCTAAAGGCGAGGAGTAAAATCAGCGGTATCTTTTGATAAACCGAACGTCAGTGTTGTAGCTGACAACAAGAAAATTCGACGAAACGACTCTTAAAAGGAGGGTAATGCCAGACTAACTTTACACCTGTCTGAGGTTTTGTACCGTGAATAGGAAAAAATATTAACGGCGAGGGGGGCGAGAGTGAGAGAACATCAGGAGTGAGACCCACCTAGGGCAGTTAGTTTCCGCTAACTGAGTTAACAGTTAACAATGGTCCCTAAGATTTAGACAGCGACACAGCTATATCCAAGCCAAATAGATCATGTCCAAATCTGGCGAAACTCTGCTGTTGTCTGGCAACTTAAAAACGGTTATTTCCATCCTGCTGATCGGTTTCACTCCGTACACAACTGGTCGGAACATGGTAACTTCCAGTGACAATTTGAGAACTCATTAAACCATGTGTCAGTAGTGTTGTTATGATTTTTTAACAAGGAAGTTGATAAACGGTAACAACCACTTTACTGAAATGAGATTCGTAATCTAATCGTGGACCTGAGATTTGATTTTCTGAAAAAGTATTTCTGATAGATTAAGGCTAGACAGGTGATGAACAGTCCCCTGTAAGATAATACCTTAACCAGTCTACAAACATTTTTAAAGAACACTGTTAGGCCCGACTTATGCTTAGACCGATTGCTTGCACTTACCAGACACAATAATTACTGGTCATATTTGGCTCACATAAGAAATATTGACATATGCTAACTACTATTTAAAGCACAACCACTGATATCGCTACGCTGCCGTTTGCAATGACTTACCGATGGTGTAGCCTGGATTGGTGAAGGCTGCTGCTTCAACCAATCGGATTCGTTACCAAAACCCGCTTACGCACAACTTTGTTACATACCCACTGCTATGGAGCGCCAACGACCAGACAGCTGGATTGAAGGGACCAAATCTCACGGCCATAAAGTTAGACCTATCGTACAGTTGCCTTGTACAAACAGCCCCCTAGTTTCAAAGAAATTAGGTTCTGAAAGCACCACTGACGTAATCTGACGGACGCTGTCAGCGCCTTCGTTGTCTGCGCATTGACTACATGCCCAATGGTAAAATCACGGCCTGGGAACATGTAAAGATATGCGAACTGATCACCGAAATCAAGCAATTTATTCTAATGTTTCAGGGAGACACAAGGGGAGTGGGAATCTTGAATAATAACTTTACCCTTTGAAGGTGCAAAAATGGTGCTGAAACAAGGTCCCATTC